GAAAAAGTTGGATTGCCTTGAACTGTTCAGAATTTTTCAGCGTTAGGAGAATATTGTAACTTATACGTAACCAGCACTGATTGCTGTGGGACCCCTAAGTCAGCTATATGTGCTTTTTGGGTCACTAATGACCACTGTGAATTTGCTTTTTAGTTTTTAAACTCTGTGTGTGTGCACACATTCATGCATGTGTGCTGGTTTGATTCTCCTGACTTTTAAGATTAAAAATATGTTTTTATGAATGTTTGTAAATTATCCTGAGCGATATAAATCAGATTGTGACAGGATGAAATATCTATTAATTTTTTTTCTCATTCTGAGAAGTGTGAAGGGTGTTACATTTAGAGGATAAATATGCTTAATAAACTATAGTAGAACCATTGTATCTTAGGAAAAGAAACTCCCAGACTTAAAAATAAAGTGTCTCATTTGTATGTCCTGACAAGAAATGAAATTTTGAGAAACCAGTTCATCAGTAAGCAGTAAAATTCTGACTGCAACTTTCATCAGATTGTGTGTGATTTCTGCTACAGTCTTGTGATGAGTTACTGGTGGGAGTTTTCCCCTGTGTCAGGCTGTGTGGGAACTTGAGAAGTTCCCTGTTGAAAAGGACTGCAGGCCATGGTTGGGATGTCTGTGCACTTTCCCGCAAGTCTCCATTACGGTAATTTTCAGCAGGCAGCTTTCCTAATAATGGCATCATTAACTTGTCACTGCAGAGTGTCCCTAAACCTCTGAAAGGTTAAATCATATTAAAAGAAACAATAAATTAATATCCTGAGGAAGTGAAAGTAGAACATTTAGCAGTGTGTGGTTCATCCGATTTGTGCTTTATTAAGCAAAGAAATCAGAAAATAAGGGAAATCTTTTAGACTTCTCTTTTCTAACTAAATGAATGCTCATTACCTCTTCTATTTATAACCAGTTTTACTCTCCCTGTTATCTTTTAAGTGTTTTCAAAATGTATTTTGTAAGGTTGCCAAAACAAAAGATATGAATTTCAGGAAATTAGATCATGATTGATTTAATAAAGAGGCATGACAAGGCAGCATTCAGTGTATTTCTGTGACCACACATTTTGAGAGGAGTACAAAGGTTGCATATTTGCAACCTCCAAGTACTCTGATTCCAATGGCTTTACAGTTTGCTTCCTCAAAGTCCTGTGCAGAATCTTTGTGTAAGTAGGGGGGGAAAAGGTCTTAAAGAAAAATGATGCCTATATATATATACTTTTAATGGGACCATGTGCATGTACATCACAAGTGGTTTTCTACATTTTTGTTTTTTCCGAATTCTGGAGAATAAAACTGGCTGTAACAGCCCTCTCTGCTTGTCTGTGGGAAAAGCGGATGGCTCTTAGGCCCCTGGAACAAACATGATTCCTGC